CTTGGGCAATCACTCTTGATCTTCCTCTCTTCTCTAAAATACTCTTTCCAACATCTCTTTTCGCATCCCAAATCAACTATCACTTTTATGCTTGCATCATGATTTTTATTATTTTATATATCCGTTTGATTTCTACAGGGTTCATCCCCAAGCAAGACTCTTGCTTGAAAGCACATCCTCCAGTAATTTGTATTCCTGGTGAATTTGGAATATTTGAATCCCTTGGATGGCTTAAAATGAAGTTTTAATCTTTTTTTTTTTTTTTGACAATGGAAAAATGGTCTTCCATAATCGTTGTAAACTATTCATGGATTCTTTGGATGGAACGCTGGTTTTAAAATACAGCCGGGAATCCTCACGTGGATACCATTTTCGCACTAAACCACCTAGCAGGAAGAAGGAAACGATTCCATCCCCACTTCTCGGCTGAATGGTACGTTCCGAGTCAAAGTCGCTTCCCTCCTGAACTGTTTGGTTAATTCCGAGCAGCGAGTCATATGAAGGAGCGCCTGGGTGGAAATCACGTGTCGGAGCAGCCTTTTTTAACCTCCTGAACTGGCGGCGGGAGCAATTGGGCTTGATCAGCTGGAAGGATGATGCGCAGTTGGGTGTTCGTAGCTGTGGCCGCGACTGTGCTGGCCGTGCGAGCCTTGGATCCGGTGAGTTCGGAGGAGAGCCCTCCTCTTCCCTCTCGGCTTCTCAAGCCCTGGGCGGTTCTTCCTAAATAGTGAGAAGGGAGCTTAGTCTGTTGCGGGGCTGGAGTGGGAAACGGAGAACGAAGGGGAAAGTGTCGAAAGCCTCGCCTCGAAAGCCCCGCCGTGTGAATTCGATTGGGGCAAGAGGAAAAGGGGAAAGGGGCTGGTACTGTCTCTGCTCGGCGGTCCGGGTCCAGGGTTGAAAGTAGGCGAAAGTTCTGCGCTGTAAGGGCTTTTCTGTTGTTTTTTGCTGGTTGCTGTACATAGCGCAAGAGAAATTATGTCATTTTAGGAGTTGAAGCAAACATTAGAAGAACTAAAGTTCTAAGAAAGAAAACGTCAATACATTTTTAAAAAGTTCAGAGATGGTAGATTTGTTCCAGATTTATGCAAACGTAACAAAGACCCCGTGAAATTGGGGGAGGGGGTGTGTAGTTGATTGCGGTCATTACTTTCAGGGGGGATCTGCTATGACACAGCCAACTTATTAGAGCCAACTCTAGCCTAGTTTTTTTTTTAAAGTATTTAGTGTGAGTACACCAGGAGATCCCACAGCTTTTCAATAGATTGAAAAATTGTGGGGTGGGGGGAGTTCTGAAAAAAGACACTGGAGAAACTATTACAATGTTGTAATCAGAAAAATAACATTGAGCTTCCCTAGTCATAAATTGTGAGGAACTGAAAGCTCAGCTGATGCTTTTTCTAGATAGGAAAGAAGGTTATAGTTCAAGTAAAGGGTTCGTGTGGAAAAATAAGATCCCATTTTATAAGAGAGTTGGAGAAAACAAGCTTATTCCATACAGAAGAAGGAGACAGAATATAGCGGCTTGATGGTCCTTAAATAAGGTGTGGTAACCTTTGCTTCCAGTGAAGATGGCCATTTCTTGTTTTTCCTGGTGAAGGAGTTGTAGGTCAACAAATCTGAAGAATGTCAATAGATGTTGAGAAAGGCTGTACTAAAAAGTCTTTAAAGTTTTATTCAAAAGATGGACCTTGTTAGTCAGATTGATTTCTCCTAATTTTCAGTTGACTGACAAAAAAAGGATTGGGCTGAAGGAGACACAAATTTATAGTAACCACAAGCTTAGGTAGTTTGCAGGTTGCTTCTCAGAAATATTAAAGTATGAATTTATATAAATGTAAAACACTCTCGTGCAAGACAGTCTTCTCAAACACCAAATTAAACAGCATTTAGTAGTAACGTTCTACCCACCAACCTGAACTATTTGCCCATTTAGTTCAGTGACTATCCTCATATTCTAACAGTAGATTTCACTTTAAACTTCCTTTTTACTCAGTCCTGCAGAGAAACTGAAACATTACTTCTCTGCCTGATTGTATGTTTGCAAGAGAGAACTCCTGCATGTATCTTGTTCATAAATACAGTATTTACTGGGATTATATGCCATCAACCAAGTTAGATTAGCTTTTATCTTTTAAAAATGTTTATGGCTTTTTCCAATCCATGCTGACAAAATTCAGCTGAGCTACTCATCTTCTTTTAGCTTTTTGTAGCTTTTTTCCTCTGACTTTGCTATCACATCTTAAATTATTCAGATGTCCAGTGCTTGCTTGTTCAGATTCCTAATTGCATTTAAGCATTATTTTTAGCCCAATTTTGTTTCTAAAGTTTTCATGAGCTATTTTACTTGTAGCCCATACAAAGATATTCATTATTTGAATATTTTTTTTTCTATTTTATTTTTTACATGCTTACAAATTATTTCTAATTACAGTGTGTGAAAGTTCAAACATGCTCAGAGAGAGTAACAGTTAAACTTGCAGTGATTTTATGATTCATAAAATTCCTGTTTCTATCTTTCTGGTAATGTTGTCAGAATGGTTCTGGCAGTAACATTTTGGCTTGAAATACCAACATATCAATGCCCCATGTGGGGATATATGATAGTACTCCATGTGCCCATTTTAGGGATATGCAACTGCAATTTTTCTTATTTTATTTTCTGGCAGATCAGGGGAATTGGGACAGTAGTGTAGTGAAGTTTTAATAAAGAATAGTTCAATGAAGAGTTTTGTGGCTTGTTTGCTTGTACTTAAGAACAGAGGAGCAAAGGATCATATCTCAATTCAGGAAGCAAACATATAGTCTTCCCTACACATACCAAAGATATGCAACCTTAATATTTCACAAAACCAGAGTATATAATTAGGAACAGGAAGAATCTGTGTAACTTCAGTGATTTCCCCTTCCCGGCTTTTTTTTTTTTGTGCGCACATACACAGTCTTGCTTCTAGTTACGACCAAATCAGGTACTGACTGAAGTCCTGGAACAGATTACAGTCATGACCGGAGGCTCCACTGTACTTTTCTGGATGCATCTTTGATCTTGCTGCATTTCTCTCTCTGTATATTTTAGAAATATGAAACTACCTTGATAAATAATTCATTTTCTTGCATGTTCTGATTTGAGATGCCTTTCTCTTATAAATACAAATACCTTCCAACATACTTAGCATATTACTTATATATTACTTTATATTCATTAATATTTAATTTCTTGAATAAATACAGTATAGAGTTTCGCTTACCTGAAAGGAATGATGTATAAAAGATACATGAGCCATATGTAAAATGATATACAATTAGAGATGTCCTTGCTACAAATTGCTTGTCTTTTAGAAAGTAGATGCCAAACTCCATTCCATAGATGTAATCTGGTTTCCGGCAGCCGATTATAGTCTCATGTAAAGTGCCTCTCCTTTCTTCCAAGGTCGCCTTTCTTTCCTATTATTTGCTGCAAAATCATGTTTGCAAAAGCTGAAGCTGGTATGCCTGTGCAAACATAGCTCTATCTTGGCCATCATCACATTCCCTGATGGTGGAAGACATATGATCCCCACAAATGACAAGAACTGTACATCATGATTTTCTGACTGGATCCCTTGTAAGCCATACCTGCTGGAAATGAGAGGGGAAGAAAACAACTGGGACATTTCTTGCCCCAAAATAAATGCTACTTTACATTGCACGACATTTTAAGGAAGAATGCACTGTACCACTATCTCCAGTTCTGGTTTTATTCCCCTTTTTATGTTGTTACTCCTGCAATTTTGAAGCAACAATTGCTTTGTAGTCTTCTAAATCAACATGTATGTTACCCTTGCCATATGAGATGCCTTGTTCATGCAGAGTTTCTCAACATTGTAAAATTCCCACCCTAATATATTCTTAGGTGCAGCACCGGAAACTAAATTTTTGCATTTCTGCTAATGAATATTTTTGCATTTCTGCTAATGAATATCATTGAAGTGGGCTATGGAATGGGAAGATTACTACACTACTATTTAATACTGAGTTGCATAGAAAGTTGTACTTCACTGCCTTTTCAGGTTTGTTAAGCCTATAGAGGCAAGATGCCCAAGGCTAATTTTCTTTTTCCACAGAAGATAAAACAAGATTCTTTCATATCAAATGAAGATTCTTTCATTTGATTTTATTTTTAAATGTGTACTGGATTGTCTGAAAAAAATCCAAGCCTGAACTGTTGTCACCATTATGTCTATTTTAGTTGCATAATCTAGTTGAGTGATATTTCTGAAGACCTATGATTTTGGCTTCTCCATGGATTTAGAGGTATACATGTTATCAGCAACACAATATTTTTGTGAATGTGATCTACATAATATTGCATTTTATACTGGATAGAGCCAAGGTGGCGCAGTGGTTAAATGCAGCACTGCAGGCTACTGCTAGATCAGCAGGTCAGCGGTTCAAATCTCACCGGCTCAGGGTTGACNAGCGATCTGCAGGCTTCTCCAGTTCCTGGCCCAGCACCTCCTTGCAGAAGCAGCTGCCGCGCGGCAAAGATCCGGGCGCTTGGCGGCTCCCGCGATGCAAATTCCCCCCCCCCCACCGCTGAGGCCAACCGCTGCCCTGCTGAGCTGCTTCGCAAAAGGATGCCCAGCTGAGCCTCACCAAGCATAAACCTCACCGCACGTCACTGTGCCATTGTAACTTCAAACATTTACGAAATGGATGGTTGTAATTTGAGGATTACCTGTACTAAGGCAATAAGGCCTGGTACTGTGCCTAGGCCTAGGGCCCAAAGGGTGTGAAGGGTCTCATCTCCTGGTTGTGTTAACAATCATCAATAGTGATATCACCCTCAGCAGCTATGTATTTTAATTTCTGTATTTATGAGGACAATTTGTTTTTAACTTATTTTAATGTATGCTGCCTATTTGTTGAGATGGTTGCCCATCAAAATTGAGTAAATAAATAACGATTAAACATATCTTCTCTTAAAATTTGTTTTCTTTCTTTTCCTTTTCCTTTTCAATCAGGAAAGTTATACCATGCTAGAAATCTTGATTTTGGACTGTTTCTTGGGTATGTAATAGCTGCAAGATTATTATTATACTTCTTTCTGAATGTTGGTATTATTTGTGTCTTCAACATAGTGATGTTTTCCATTTTTCTTTAAGACCGTGTCTTATTGAAATTACTTGACAATGCATATTAAATCTCCCATTTACATATGAACTGAAATTGAGGGTTAGTTTGTATATTAGGCCCTACATATTATCTAGAATTTGATATCTAATAGCAAAAATATCAATGCAAGTATTTGCAATTTCAAGGATGCTAGAAGCAAGGGTAATCAATTTATACATCTATTTAATGCTGGGTATAAAACTAGAAGGCCACCACAGTTTTTACAGTATTTCCTGCCTGAGTATGTAAGTTTTGTGTTTTAATCTGTAATGCATTGTCATCCTGTTTTGTTTTGATCCTAATAATTGACAAGGTACTAGGGAGTCCTGGTCTTTCTTAACAGGGTTAGCCAAAGCTTTATATTCTACATAGCATAGAAGAATTTTAAGATTTAATGCTTGGTATAAAATTCAGTGGGTGGTAATGAAAAACAAGACTGAATGGGATGAGGAAGTTGACAATGTATGTAAACTTTTCCATTAACTATTAAGACAGATGTTACACCTCACTAGTAGAGAAAAGAAAGTGACACACACAGGCTGTTCTACATAGTAATTTTTGACAAACCGGACAAGTTGTTGAATATATTATATTGATATAAACCCATTCAAAATATGAGGGTTAGATGGTTAGCTCAAAGATGATGGTTAGAGTGACATATTAAGACTAAGGAGATGTAGGGTCAATCCTAATTCAGGCAAGAAGATCATTGGTTATGTAGACCAATCACAATCTCTCAGTTAAACTTTCAATAGGAGAAAATTGGATCCTCTACAAGTAACTTTGAATGCACTGTTTAGAAGAAATATCCTTCTGTGATATTTCTAAATTAAGATTTATAGATCAGCCTGTTGTGAAGATTGACAAGGGATGATATTATATCCCTTGTTCTCATAAAGAAACACGGAATGAAGCCGCAAATATTGACTGATCTAGATCTTCAGATTTAACCTTTGACCAGAGAGAAGAAAACTCCAATTTTCATAGCTTTCACCAAAAGGTGAAGCTCAGATGTTATGTAGTTCTTTTTAAGTGAGCAGCACATAAATTACTAAATAATTAGTTTTTTTCTATTGAATGAAGCTGCCCAAAAGGAGTCCATTTAGTTTTGTATATATATTTATTTCTTATACTTAATTTTCTTTCTCCCATGTAGGTGGGATGTACAAAATAGTTCCTGGTATACAACACAGAAGCTGAAGCCATTAATGGTATCATTGGATTTTCAGAAAAACAATAAAACAGTATTTAAATCTGCAAATTTTGCTGGCTATGTCGGAATGGTAACTGGAGTTAAACAAGTAAGTGTCCATCTATCTATCTATCTATAGATCTATATAGTGTAAATGGCATTCTGATTTTAATAGTACAGAAAGTTCATAATTTATTACTCTCAACCTGAACATATTTAAACTCAGGTGGGCAGGTGTCCAGTTTTTCTTTTTTGTGACTAACAGTCGAAGTCTGCCACAGAACTTGCAAAGCATAAAGTGTGCAAACTTTCACTATTTGAAAAAAGAGTCTGCTCTTATTTTTCCCGTTGATTTATTGCAACATATATAAAAATCAATCATTTTACCTTTCATGCTCAAGTTCTGCAAATGTAACAGAGCAAATCAGACCAAATATTACATGACTGGAGAGATGAAGAGATTAATTTTGACCTAAAACTTTATTGGATTGTATTTTTGTTACATTCATGAGGTGTATTTATTTGACAGATAGGCTTGACTAGGAAATGATATTTGTATTCCTGCAAGTTTCTACAATCCTGGCTGCCACTGGAAGTGCTTCATGCACAAAGTCTGAGGAGAAAAAAAAATAAGGCCACTTAACTTAATTTTCTACAAATTTGTTTGCTTCAGGTTGATATTCTACAGTTTGGGCAGTGAGATGGAAAAAATGGTTCAATTGTTGAATATTCCTCTAAATGTCAAGCTTCCTCCAAATTCATTTTTCTTATTGAATCAGAAACACCCTTCTCTGTTCTGAGGGATTATATGAGCAATTGTGAAAGAAACATGAAAATTTCAATTTCTCTCTTTTCTCTGCTCTGGTAATCTTGTCTTGTTCAGCTGGTGTAACAAATCTCAGTATAGTTGACAGTTAATGAAACCATCATTTTGCAGCCCCTGTGAAGGCACTATGAGCCTCAAGCATCTGACTGTCCTCTGTCATCAGAATTTCTAACTGGGTTCACACAGTTTATTGCTTCAAGTTTACTGATGGTTTGGGATTGGCAGTTCTTTGAACTGTGAACTTGTAAACAATGACTTTGAGTTTTGTGCAGATGAGCCAATTTTAGCTTACTAGTGATCCAGTGTTAAGCAAGATATGATTAAATTAACACACATGAATCATGTGAATCCAGTGATGCTGTTGCACATAAATATATAATAAGGCATAATTTGCTTATTTAAGCAACCCTCATTGTCTGAGTTTATGCAATTTGCTAAGCCAAACTGATTTACAATTCATGGAGGCTGATGTCATTGTAAACAAGCATCTACACTATGATTTAATCCATTGTGTGAAAAACTATGTACATAAGCATGGTGACCTATGGTTTGTTTAATTGTGCCTTATTGCATAATTTATAATTGATTGGGTTTGCACATCATTGCAAGTCAGAACTCATTGCTTATGGTCACAAGGGGGGATTCAACATTTTATTCCAAATCAAAGGATCACACAATCATTTAAAGCAGGGGTGCTCAATCTTGACAATTTAAAGATCTGTGGACTTTAATTCCCAGAATTGGCTGAGTCTTAACATTATTGAAGTTGGACACTCCTGATTTAAAGTGATTTATTAAAAGAATCATAGTGTATGTAAATAGTGGAGCCCATTGTAAAAGGAAGTCTGCTAGTCATATTGAACTCCTTTATGGAAGAATCTTTATTAGATATGATAATATTATAAATGAAATTACTTTATTCAAGTAATAGTTGCATTAATTGGCTTCTGTTTTAGGGGATATTTACATTAACCATGAATGAGAGATTCAGTCTTGATGGAGGTTACATTGGTGAGTATCCCTAATGAACTGTTCTTGTCTAATGAGAAAATATCAAGAGAGAGTAATTTTATAAAAACTGAATCCTAAATCCCTCAGATTATCAATTATGTCTGATGTCAGGATTGAAGAGAAATAGCATTAAGATTCAAAAGATGAGGTATAATTGAATAGAATTAATGCTCTGAATCTTTTACAGGAGTCTTTGAGTGGCTTATTGGCAAGAGGGATGGTTGGTGGATGAGTTTTCTCACCAGAGCTGTGTTAGAAAACAGCACAAGGTAACATGTCAGATGCTTAAGCAGTTCAAGATAAATTCATTGTTTTGTAACTGCTGTAAAGTAGACAAAAACTTTTATTTTATTTTCCTGCCTACACTCTTTTCCACTTCTTTTATCTTTCTTTTTAAATTTCATTCTGTATAATTTCATACTTATTTTTTTATTTATGTGAAAATCTTTTATAAAAATTATTCAAAAGTTGCTTAAGCAGTTAAGCAGCAGGTGTGACTTTATATTGGTGTTGCAAACTAATGCAGGCTTTCTTTATATTTCTGTAAAGTTCTTGTTAATCATGTGAATTTTTACAATCAACTTTTATCAAAAAATTAGGACAGGCAGACAAAATATATTGTGAATCATTTTATTTATGTAGATAATGATTGATTATTAACAAATTTTTCAACTCCTAGCAACCATATAAATAGATGTTCTCCATGACAGTCTATCCCTAACTTAATATTTCAGGTTGCATTCATCAGCACTGTAACGAAATCCATCAAGCTTGCTGCTAGTCTTCCTAGATTTCTCTTTCTTCCCATCTTTTCAAGCATTAGCATTGTCTCCAAAGACCTATGTCTTCTCATAATGTGTCCTAAGTAGGATAATTTGATAGTTCAGTCACTTTGATAATTTTATTTTCAATTCTAAGCCTGGTTGTTCTACCTGTTGTCATATAAAATTCTACCTTTACATATAATTTTAGTCTCATTTTTTTATTGTGCTCCTTGACTTTTATTGCAAGAGCTTACAGATCTTTTGTATGTTTGACTATCAAGGTTGTGTAATCAACATAGCACAGGTTATTAAAGTTTGCTCCTCCAATTTTAAAGCCACATTCTTCTTCTTCCAATCCAGCTTCCCTTAATAGATAATTCAGTACAGTGATACCTTGGTACTCGTAGTTAATTGGTTCCAGGAGGCGCAATGATTACCAAAAATGATAAATGATTTTTCCCATAAGAAATAATGAAGTAAGTCACAAGGCAGCTGACATTAACAAGTTCTGGCTTTTGAGTTGAGTACCAAACAACAATGAGCATCAGGACAAAAAATTTTGGGCAAAATGTGTTGCGTACCAAATTCAATAAGTTTCAAAGCAGTTGAGTACCAAGGTGCCACTATATATAGGTTGGATAAATAAGGGGAAAGTTAAACTCCTTTGCCAACTTGGAGCCAGTCTCTTTCATTGTGCTCTGCTGAACTGTGGTTTCCTGACCTGTATATAGTATAAGTTTCTTGTGAGAACAATCAGATGTACTGGGATTCCCATTTTTATGAGCACATTCCACAATGTAATGTGAATAACACAGTAAAAGGTCCATTTATAATCAATGAAGCACATAGCATCTTCTTTTTCATATCCTTTGGCTTTTTCTCTCGGTTTTCACTTGAATCATCAATGATATCTTGTGTTCTTCAGCCTTTTCTAAAGCCTGTTTGGACATCCAACACCTCTTTTTCAATGAAGGACTATAATTGGGTGATCCTAGGAATTATTTTGTTAACATGTGAATGTAGCTATCTTATGCATTGATTTATTTTTAAGACAATAGTGAATACAGCCGACACATCATGGTTGGCTTGAGTCATATTTTCTGACTTATACACAATCACAAGTTGATCTTGTGATCAAATTCTATTTTTCCTTTTTATTCTGATTGATCTTCATTGCTGCCACTGAATAGCAATATAATTGTTTATCATACAGGAAAGGAAGAATAGAAGCACAATCACTCCATGCACATGTGGAAATTTATCACTAGTTTTTTCTTTTTCTTTCTTTTTTCGTTTCTACTATAATTTTGCACCGGTGAGGCCAAACCAATTTCGTTGTATTTATTTTGTACAATGACAATGAAGACTATACTATACTAATAGGAGAAATCATCTATCACATTATTTAATTGGCAGCCAAAGAGCCACATTAGAGGCACATTAGGTCACAAGAGCTCTAGTAGTAGATGGACTAGAGGAAGTGTTATAAAGAGAATCTACTATTTGTATCCCTTGTGGTTTCTTAGGATCAGTTGCCATGGTTCTAATCCTTCTTAAATTAGCCATACTGTAACTATATCCTTCAGATACATAAAACTGCCATTTTTAGAACTGACACAGTGAATGGCTAATATTTCTGGGAGATACCAAGTTTGGTAAAGCTACTTGAAAAATTTTCAGTATCTCTTTGCTTCTTACCTGTTTTCTTAGGAACAATGCAATGCAACTTGTCTTTCCCCTTTCTTTGTCTTTTGCAGTAGACCAATATGTCTCCATCTATCAATTTTTTTATTCTTATATACTGCTCTTTATGGTATATTCCCAAACTAGTCAGAGGTTATTAGATCCTTGGGTATAGGCATCTCTTCTCTCCCCACCACCCCAAATCATGCCACTGAAACTTACAAATACTAATGACTTGGTAATCACTGAGATAACTTTCCCATTAATTTTTGCTGAGAAAATCAAGAGAAGGCTCATTAAATACCCCCTTTCATAGTCTCATGACTGCTGAAAATAATAGGATAGCACACACAGCCTCCACAAACATATTTCCTATTCTTGCTGTATACAAAGCATTTTGAAAGACTACCTTTTGTTTATAATATGCATCTCACACCTGCTCCCTGTAATCATTGCATTGTTTCTTTTGTTGCATATAGTTATGAAGATGCAAAGGATAAATTGGCCAACACAAAGCTGCTGGCTCCAGCTTACTTCATACTAGGAGGAAAAAAATTGGACGAGGGTTGCATTATTACACGTTCTCGAACTGCTGCTTTAAACATTAAAAAGTACGTATGGTCACTAAGGAAAATATCACTGTTGCCTATAATAGCTTGTGTTAAAACAGCCATGTTGATACTTATAATATAATACAGGTGGTTTTAGTTTTTGCATTTAGAATAGAGTAGAATAACAGAGTTGGAAGGAAGCTAGTCCAACCCCCGGCCTAGGCAAGAAACCCTTCACCACTTCAGATACATGGTTATCCAATGTCTTCTTAAAACCTTCCAGTGTTGGAGCATTCACAACTTCCCAATTCCAGCAACCGTTCTTCATGTGTTTTAGCCGCCAGTCATTTGTTTTCAATCTCAAAGCTATGCTTTAATAGCTTTAACAGTTTTCTTTTTACGAAGAGGTGTTTCTAACTTTATGAGAGATCTGTTTGGAATGCACTTTTAAGTAATAGCTTGAATTTAGCTGCTAATGTTTTAGAAATATTGGGTCATAACTTTGGTAAAAAATGCTAATATTTATCTTTTATTTCAAGTTTGGACGCAAAGAACGGCAACTGGTTTGTTGTAGAAACCAATTATGATCCCTGGAAGCCACCACTTATTATAGATGACCGGAGACACCCTGCAATGAATTGCTTGAATAAAACGGGTCAAGAGGTAATGCTGTGTAATATGAAGGATAAACTATGCAGAGAATTACGGAGATTAATTTGATTCTCTATGCAAGCGGGTGTCAAGATGGAACTTAAAAGTACCGTTAAAAGAACAGCTGAAATTTGTAACAGTTATTCCATATAGTTAACAAATGTAGCCCAACATAACCATATTTGAAAATTCATATTTGCACTAAATCAAAGGATGGCTTTTATTTTACTTATAGATCATAGTTTATAGTCCACAATTTAAGCCCAAGATACATATATTTTCTTTTAATTTGTTTTAGGGCAGTAAACTAGTTTTAAACTATAGTTTGTTACTTTATTGACTGGAATTATGATTTAATGGCAATGCATGATTTATGAGTTTCTGACACGCTTTTGTGGAATGGCTGAACTTCTGAAACATGCAAGGGACAAAAGGGTTAGAAAGGAAAGGAAGTTTTTAAAAACCACTAATTTAACTAGCCATATCTATTACAAGACTGAGTCTTGTGTTAGCCAGGGCTAGTTCTTGTCTTGTTTAACAAATAATTAGTCTCCTCTATGAATGCAAACAATGTGGATAATGGAAATACCGTATTTTTCTGAGTATAAGACGCACCAAGGTTTTGAAGAGGCAAATTTAAAAAAAAGTAGGTAGGTAGATAGAGGGCTAGAGAGGGAGAGAAAGAAAGAGAAATACAGTAGGTAGGTAGGTAGGTAGAGAGAGTAGGTAGGAATAGAGAATAGGTAGGTAGGTAGGTAGGTAGGTAGGTAGGTAGGTAGGTAGGTAGGTAGGTAGGTAGGTAGGTAGGTAGGTAGGTAAATGGATAGAGAGAAAGAGAAATAGAGAGAGAGAGAAATACAGTAGGTAGGTAGAGAGAGAGTGCGTCGGTAGGTAGGTAGAAGGATAGAGAAATAGAAACAGATAGAGAAATACAGTAGATAGGTAGGGAGAGAGAGAGTAGGAAGGTAGATAGAGGGATAGAGAGAGAAATACAGTAGGTAGGTAAGGAGAGAGAGAGAGTAGGTAGGTAGGTAGATGTTTCCAGGTGTATTTATCCATGTGCTGGAGAAGGAAATCGCTGACAAACCTTAAGACTTTGTTTCTGCTGGCACAGGATTTGATCAATGTAATTCTCATCAGTTAAAGAGCTTTNGTGTGTGTGTGTGTGTGTGTGTGTGTGTGTATATACCTGAAAATATTAATGTCATTCAGTGTTCCAATATTTTAATATAGATTCTCTTATTGGATTCTCCTGCTTCTATTGGTTTCAGTACAACTTATTCTGGAATTAGAAGGAATTGTCTAGTTGTGTCATTTTAAAACATGAGATTTAATTATTTGATGATCTCATGCATTATCACTACTGTACTCCCAGCATGTTCAGTGTTATGGGAGTTAATATAATAATGGGTGATTAAAATAGCAATAGCACTTAGACTTATATACCGCTTCACTGTGCTTTACAACACTCTCTAAGTGGTTTACAGAAAATCAGCATATGGCCCCCAACCATATGGGTCCTCACTTTACTGATCTTGGAAAGATGGAAGGCTGAGTCAACCTTGAGCCAGTCAGGATCAAAGGAATCGAACCCCTGGCAATGTGAGCAGAGTTGGCTTACAGTACTGCATTCTAACCATTGTGCCAAGATAATGAAGGGGAACAGAAAAGGGAAACATAACCTTGACAAGCCCAATATCAGTTTTAAACTGCATGCTTAAAGTCATTTTGCTCCACATATTTAGCCATCATAAATCATTCTCTTCCATTTTCCTACTGTGACATTTTCTTTTCAAACAGAAGGCTCTTACTAAAGCAGTGCAATATGTTACTTTATAAAATAATAGTTTAAAATAATACTTTATTGGTTTGAGATGGCCTTCAACTGACTTGCTGGATTCAGAGAAAAAGACAGAACCATGTAGAATTTAGAACTTTCAGCAGTTTTGGTTTCCTTAGAAATAAAGTATTCTCATGTTTCTTTGGTTGACTTGTTGTCGAAAGTCCATAGCCAAATGACTGTCTTCATGGTCTTCAATTGGAGTTTTATTTTTCCTGTTCTTTATCATCCTTATGTGAACATTTTTCAGTGATTCAGACATTGCAGTCAGTGAAATAACAATAAAAGAAGGATTGTATTGGAGTTTATACTTTTTCAGCAATTTCAGCTATTCTGAAGTACAATAGTGTTAGTCTTTTTCTTTCAAAGAAGAGAGAGAAGGGGAGGGAGGGAGAGAGGGGGGGAGAGAATAATTGCAGTACTTCTACCAATGAAATGAAATGAAATTATATGAGTGGTTCCTTAGACTTTCTTATGCTGAAATAATGAGTGGCAGTTGTGCTTAACTTTCTGAATGATCCAAGGGCTGCACTAGGCAGGCAAAAGTACATTAGTGTGGAAAAAGATTACAGACATGGCAAGGGATAGTATTTTTTGTAATGTTTGGTGAGTGGATTGAGGAGGGACTCATTGGTTTGTGTTACATACATTTTAGCTTAGAATAGAATGTTTATATTTCTTGCCTGAACCTGTGAGAAAATACATGTGTAATTTTATCACTAAAATAGCGGCTGCAGCAAAAGATATTCAGGAACCAAAGGTTGATTACTGCATATTACCCTGAGTGAAATAATTAGAGCTTAAAAAATAAAGTTGATTTTTTTTTAGCATACATCGTTATAATTTGCCAAATCTAACTAACTAATTTATGGTTTCCTTTTAGGGTTGGTTATGCTCTACCCTTCCCTATCCTTTCAATGAAGAAATAAAAGGCATTGCTTCTGCTATTGATGCTCCTTTAGGTAATTTCCATATTCCTGTAATATTTGACTTTCAAATATATAGGTTCCTTTGTTGCCTCATTTTAGCTACTCCAGTAGCTAAGGTTCTGTGCTGAGGGTTCCAGTAAGGGCATGGAACTACTTCAGTGCCCAGATGTACAATCTGCATGTACTAGAGAATAGGCATAAAACCAGATAATTAATTCAAATGAAGAAATGCTAAATCCATTAATAACTTCCATTAAATATCAGTCAACAAACACTGAGTGGAACCTCAAGTGTACTTTGTATTTTCTCTAATTTTCATGCAAGAAGCATACTGTTTAAAGCAAGATTTAACTTCATGTATTGGTATATCTGATCTCCTTTGCCCTATAACCTTTTCCTTGTTTTTCAGAAATTGCAAAATTGGTTATTTTATAATTCAGAAAGGCATGCTAGAAAATTTATGCAAATGCAAATAAGATCAGATAAGAAAGCTTATAAATTCTTTTCATAGGCAGCTAAATACTGTGTGAGATAGATCTGATGTAGCTTCTAATGAGTCTCAAACTAAGAGAAAGGATTAGCACCTGGGATTAGTGTTGCCAGATTATATTTCTTGCTTTGCTTTGTACAGATCATCTAAATATTTTATTGACAATTCAATAATCTCTGCTTTTTCTCTCCCATTATGTAGGTGATGTTGTTGTGTTCAACATCTTCTATGAGATCTTCACGGTGTGCACATCCATAATAGCTGAAGACAAAACAGGTAGGCAATGCATAGCTATTGTGATTCATTTGAGAATGCAATCCCAAAACATACAGAGCACCACTTGAAACACCATCGGCATTGACAAAATCACAACCAGTTATTTGTAAAAGCCACNTTTTTGCTCATCTGCCCTCCCCAGCCTCCAGCAGCTTTCTGAAAGCCTCCATAAGAGTATGCACAGCCATTTTGGTGAAGGGGGCGGGGCTTTGGAAGGCAAAAAATGCTGTATTCGATGTATAAGACACACCCAGATTTTCAGCCTCTTTTTTGAGGAAAAAAGGTCCGTCTTATAATCCAAAAATACAGTAATTTTCATTCTAAAATGGAAATAATTTTCATTCTAAAATTCAGCTAAAATACTTTGAGTTTGACTGACATAATAAACTAAAAGAGTCACAAGCCTAGAGTTGTTTGTTTAATTCTATAGTTGGCAGGGTAGCAGCATCTCAGAGCAAATTCTTGACTCTCCAAAACATTTAGGATGGGACACTTGTTGCTGAGATTGGATATTGGTTAATAGTATTCTGTACTACAGCTGCTCTAAAGATTAAAATAGAATTTTTAATTATTCAATCTTTACTCCTTTCCCTAACAGAAAATCGCATTACCAGGTTTATATAATGTTCTCTCCACAAAGCCTATACTCAATAAGGTAACTTTTCTTTATTTTACTTTTATTTATACCTCGCCTTTATTTTTTTATAAACAAGCCTAGGTGACGAACATATCTAATAGTCCTCCTTCTCCCACACCCCAGCAACAACTCTGAGGTGAGTTAGCTGAGGGAGAGTGATTGGCCAAAGTCACCCACAGGTTTGACATCCCTGGTCTAGCACATTATCTGTTTTTTGAATTAGTGTAAACTTTTGTAATGGCAAGCAAATCTTCATAGTTTTTCTGAAGATTTTAATTCAAAATGGTTCTAGGTCAGGGATACAGTTTCTTTTTATAAAGTAAAAACTAGGCATTAAACTGGATTGTGACTGTAAACAACTGTGGCCTGAAAGCATAGTTAAATCAGGGCTTTGTTGTATTGCGACAAATCAGGCATATATCCATTTAATGTTTTACTTATCTTACTAACAGATATATGATAAAGCACAACAGCCCTAATGTGTAGCAAAAGCATTGAAAGGAAAGGGTTATTATTTTGAAAATCATTTGCTTTTATCATATTGGCAAACTAACATTTTTATATGAAACTTTCCCCCTTATTTAGTTGACAGTCTCAACCACACTTTTAGAAGTTTCTGAAGGCCAAATAGAGACTTATCTGAGAGATTGTCCAGACCCCTGCAGTCCCTGGTGAGGGCCACTCAGCCTGCAGAATACAACTCATGGAAGAGGATCCCTTGCTGGGTGAACAATGGCAGATGTTTTCCATTGCCAAGTACCTCTTCGTCTTCAGTGTGTCTTCAGAGAAACCTGGATTTAAGTGCTTGCAATTCAGCCAGCAAAATTAACCCAATCTGCTTTCCAAATGTATACTTTTCATTATATGAACCTTAAACAGGGTTTGGGGCTTCTGCTTCTTCCTCCTTAAACATCAGTTGATCCTTGGTTAGGCACAGTGTTGCTAGAGAATTTCTTAGGGCAGGTATCTTATTGCAGTTTGCCCTACGTATCTTCATTCAGGAGTTAAGTGCCATTGTATTTGGTATGCAAGGTGTGTTTTAGACAGGTGTGTGTGGGATACAGTTTTAGGAAATTATGACAGTTTGAACTGGTATTGTTCAATCCTTTGAAAGAACTCAGTGCTTGCCTTCTTCGGCTGCCACCTACTTTGGTACATCAATGTGTATTCCCAGCCTGAAATAATATTCTGGAGTTCTTACCGCCCTGTGCACCTGCAGACTTCCGCCTACTTCCAGGAGGAGAGAGCCATGAGAAAATCCAGCCCTGCCTCAGAGAAACAGCGTGGCACTCCTCTGCAGTTAGCAAACATGCCTGGAGCTTTCCAAGGTGTTGCCTCTGACATTCTTCAGACGTTCCCAATTAGTCTGCATCTATAATTGTTTTTCATCTGCAGCCAGAAATTTTAAACTAGTTGCATATCTTTAAGTAGTAATTATGAGTGAAGCCATATTGCTGTTTCCATAAACATTAATTGGCTAAGATGGCAGATGAATAGGAGTTTTTGGGCAGTCTGGTGAGGCCAACCACGCCCCTTGCTCTCTCTCACTGCAGTGTGACTTCCAGTTGGATAAGTAGAGTAGAAAGAGTGTCAGTTTGAGGCATATCAGTAAGTACAGCATGGTGGGTTCCAGTGCACTGACTCAGACTTGGTATATTTTTAGTGATACTACTTGTTAAAATATAGACCCACTACCCCAGGATCACAACAAACTGAATGTTTCAGTTCTGTTAATTGAAATAAAAAATGTAACATTAATATGTACTTGAAAATTTTGCAATTAAAAAAATAAATTACATTGTGTTGTCTTATTGAAAGGAAGTAATATTGCAGTGATAAAGTGTGTCGTTGCAACTTCTAAATAATTTTTTTTCAGTATTTACTTGTGGAACATTTCTCATAAATTAAGCCTAGGATCCAGTTAATACATGGATTAGTTTTATTACTTGACTGCTTAATAAATTAAGCTTGATATCTTTTGATAATTTAAGAAATGGCCCTTTTAAAGCTACCCATACCCATATTTCATTGATTTGTTTGGTATCAGCAAATACTTCTATTATGGGTTGTATGAAGTTGAAGGGACGGGTAAGGCAGAGTAGCCTTCAAGGCATCAGTAAATGTGGAAAGTTTGGAAACTTCTTGTTCTGAAAGAAAATTTGATGTAATTTGACACACTGGTGCTTTACTCTCAGGCATGGGAGATTACCTGAGTGAGGTAAGTAAATGTTGGTACAGAAGAGAGCTTAATGTTTGAGGACTTAATGCCAAATAATCCAAATGATGTGAACTAACCTGACACTATCTCATTTGCAATTTTTATTTACTGCCTTAATGAGTAAGAATTTGCTTTCGCCCAACAAAACTTTTCTAAATATCTGAGATGTATTTCCATAGCATGTTTAACTTGCTCCACTTGCTGATTTAACACAACCCACTCTATTACCTTATGTCCTATACATACTATGAGTGTAGGATGTGAAATGAATACTTGCTCTTTGATCTTTTTGAAGATTCATTACATCTCTTTAAAGTTGTTAAATCAAGTCTTTCCAGTTGTGGTAAATTGTTATCAATCAAGTAAATCTTTTAAATTTATTTTATCAGGCAAATAATGTTGCATTACTAGCTGAGTGGGTAAGATACTCCACTTAAGCCTTTATATTTAAGAGCTGTGCTTAGCTCTGGTCAGTGACTAATATAATTCAAGGAGCTTGAAAGGGCGTTGGTACTTGCCTGATACGCCTCTTCTAATAGGATGGAGATAGCATCCATGCATAGATTGACATTGTCTGCCTTCTGACTGGACTGAGTCTGATTAAAGATAGTTAAGACACACCCCTTGTTACTAGCCTTACCCAGCTTTTCAGCGAAGAAGAACTTAGACTCAGCGTGTCATCGTATAATAACTTTAGTAAACAGTAATTCATCATCAATCAAATATTAGCAAACAGTACTCGACAATAGACAACTTGAGACATAACCCACCGTGAAATCCATAACCCTATGATACCAAGAGTAGTTCAGAACAGTTCATAAAACAGATCAGTCGAATAATAGGGAGGGGATGAATGCCATCTCCACTCTATTAGAACAGGGGTCTCAGGTAAGTACCAATGCCCTTTCTCAATAGAGGTGGAAATAGCATCCATGCATGGGACATACCCAAGCCCTATCGTCCCAACGAGGGAGTCAGACTGATCAGAAATAGGTGCAGCCAAACAAACTGCTTGTAAGACCGTGGGACCAAAATCCGCAGACACAAATTTATCTATTTTATAGTTGGCAATGAACGGGGAAGGTGAAGCCCAGGTGGCCGCCCTGCAGATCTCATCTAGAGAAGCTTGTGTAGCCCAGGCTGCCATAGTAGCTGCACTTCTCTTAGAGTGTGCAGTTATGCCTCTAGGCACTGGCTCATGTTGTGAACTATATGCCCTAGCTATGCACCTTCCGACCTAGAGTTGTGGGCTGAAATGACACAAACAGCGTTTCCCACCTCCTAAAGTCAGAAGTGCGACTGATGTAGACCTTAAGAGCACGTTGCACATCCAGCTTGTGCCATCCTCTCTCCAAGGGATGCTTAGGCGAGGGGAAGAAGTTGGGCAAAACGACCTCCTGGGCCCAGTGGAACCAGGAGGAAACCTTGGGTATAAACAAAGGGTCCACCTGTAGGACTACTCTGTCAGTGTCTAAGGTCCTCCCTCACTGATAAGAGCATGCAGTTCCAAAATCCTCCTTGCGGAGGTGATAGCCACCAGGAAGGCAACTTTCCACATAAGGAACTGCAGTTCCACAGAGCGTAGAGGTTCAAAGGGGAGCCCCATTGGAGCTGATAAAACCTTTGACAAATCCCACGGGTAGCAATGAACCACTGGTAGGTTCAAATTGACTGCACCCTTTAAGAACTTCCGCACAGTCAGGTGATGGGATAAAGGTTGCCCCCCCCACCAAGTCAGAATAGTGGCCAGAGCTGCTACCTGCCTCCTTAGTGTATTAGGTGATAGCCTTTTCTCCAGCCTATCTTGGAAAAATTCCAATACCTGGGGTACAGAAGCAGGTGTAGGATGAATGGTCTTGGCCTCACACCATTTACAGAAGTTACGCCATGTAGCTTCATATATGCAGACCTTGGAAGGCCGCCTGGAGGATTTTATTGTGCCAATGACTAGAGGAAAAATTGTCCTTCCTCAAGAGAGTCCTGCTGAAGCACCAGGTGGTCAACTGGAGCCACTGAGGGTCCCGATGCTCCAGCGACCCCTGGCTGAGGGCACCCTTGGCCTGAGGGATCCACCAGGGTCTGGCCACCAACAAGCGCTGTAGGTCGGCGAACCATGGCCGATGCGGCCAATGAGGGGTAACCAGAATCACCTCTGCCCTTTTGGTGATCACCTTGCATAGCGCCAAGGAATTAGGGATAGCGGGGGAAAACCAAAAAGAAGGCCAGGGGGCCACCGACACCTGAGAGCATCCAGTTTACACACACACAAAAGTTCATGAATATGGAAAATATTTCAAAAGGCTACATTAAGATACATATATTTTATAGAAATGATCATGTTGAATAATTTAAAACTGATCTGCTATAACTAACTCAAAACTTCAATATGCTGACTTCAGTTAGACATATTAATTGTTAAGATGGTCTGATGTCAACAAAGCCAAGTGCCTCTCCACCCAGAGGCCCAGTTCTTTGGCTTCCTTCATGAGTGTCTTGGACTTTGTGCTGACTTGACGGTTCATAGACTTTGGCGGCCACATTGTCCATCAAGACTAACACGTGTTGGTCTGCAATGGTGCTGAGAAACCTCTGGAGAGCCAGGTGGATGGCTCTGAGTTCCAACCAGTTTATGTTGTGAGTCCTGTCCACCTGATCCCACTGTTCCTGGGCCATCTGCAGATGGGCCCCCAGCTGTACAGGCTGGTGTCCGTGGTAACCATCACCCTGTGAATGACTCTGAAGTTGCAGCCCTGGTGATGGCCGTCAACCTCCACCAGCAGAGAGAGCGGAGGACATCCATGGGAACAGTGACCTTCACCAGTGATGTATTCCTGCATGCCTTCTGAAAGTGTAAAAGAAACCACTGTAGGTTCCTAGTGTGTAGGCGTGCCCAAGGCATGATGTTGATAGCCAACACTATTTTCCCCAGCAAGCAGGACAAGGTGGCTAGGGAGACCCTGCACTGATTCAATACCTCCCCAATCAGTTGTTTAATATTTGCTTGCCTATCCTGTGACAGGAAAACCTGCCCAGAAATAGAATCAATCCACGCCCCCAGGTGTAAGATCCGGGTGGTGAGTTCAAGATGACTTTTGTCTCTGTTTATAGAAAACCCATGGGCCTCCAAGATGCATATTATTACCTCTTAAGTCCTGCCTTGCTCTAGATAGTGATCAGGATTGTAACAACATATCATCGAGGTAGCATTGGACATGCATGGGCAAATCCTCAGATGTGCTGCCAATGCTGCCAGCACCTTGGTGAATGCCCGGGGGGGGGGGGCAGAAGGCCGAATGGCAGGGCCTTGTGCTGATAGTGCCGCCCCCATAATAGAACCTCAGAAATTTGAGGTGTTCAGGCAGAATAGGGATGTGCAGGTAAGCCTCTGTCAAGTCGATGGATGTTAGGTCGTCACCTTCCCACACCCCTGCTAGAATAGAATGCAAGGAATGCATTTTAAGCCTCCAATATTTTAAATGATGGTTGAGCTATTTTAGGTTTAGAATTGCTTTTCAACCCCTTGAGACTTTGGGAATTAGAAAAAGAATAGAATAGAAACTCTGATGTAATTGGTCATCTGGAACCAGTTGCACAGCCCTGATGTCCAGGAGGTGTTGTATTGCTGAAATCATTAGGGTTTGTCTGTCCAGATTGTGGGACACTGGGCAATGAATAAAGAAACTCAGGGATGTGGAGAGGAATTCTAGAACTAAGCCTGACCTAATGGTACGTTTTACCCAGTCGTCGGAGGTAATCTCGTCCCATCAGTCTGCGAAAAATGCTAAAAGCCCCCTTATGGGTATGTAGGTTTGGTGGGACCTATGACTTCAGTTCAGTTCACTTTAATTGTATGCCGCCCTTTTCCCTGGGGGGACTCAGGGCGCCTCACAGTTCAAAAGGGGTGGGGGAAGGACAAATAATTCACAACATAAAAGCATTACATCATTTAAGAACTCAACAGTCATACAATTCGAGTAGGGGTTAGANCAGTTACGGAGGTGGAGATGACAGACTCCATCATTCCTCTGTGGAACAGAAATCAGCAGCTCTTTGGGCAGGTTGAGCTTCCTGAGTTGGCGCAGAAAGAACATTCTTTCTTGTGCTTTTTTGATGACATTTTGGATGTTAGGGGTCCATTTTAAGTCTGGAGATATGAAAGAACCTAGAAACTTGAAAGTCTCTACTATTGATGCTACATTGTCTAGTATTGTAAGAGGTGGTAGCATGGGAGGGTTTCTCCTAAAATCTCCCCTCCATTTCTATGGTTTTGAGTGCATTTACTACAAGATTGTTCTGGCTGCACCATGAGGCTGGTTGCTCAACCTCCCATCTGTATGCAGATTCATTGTTATCTCGAATGAGACCCATCAGTGTTATCTTAAAAGAGCGAAAGAAGCTTATTAAAATTTTGCTAGGAGTGCTTTGGGGCTATTGAAATTGAGACAGGCTGATGGGTGGTGGTGCTCACCCAACAGAGATAATCTTAATTCATGTTCATCTGATTAGATTACGCTAATCCCATCCAGTTTTTATTCTGCTTAATCCTGGGTGTGTTTATGCGCGGGTGAGAATCTTAAGTT